CGGACCATGCTCTGCTACGGGTGAGATTCTCCCTACGCCTGATTAACAACCGCAGAAAAGACGCCAAAAACGGAGGCCCAAGGTACAACAATGGTTTCATATTGGCCTTCGGTTGCCTTGCTTGACGCTCGCTCCTGACACCAGCAACACCACAAGCTTCGGGTGCGGAATCGCCTGACACACGAAGGGTGAAGCGTGAGGATGAGGCCGGATCCAGAGGAAGATAACTGAAGTAGGATCTTGTATGCGTGTTTCAGAGACATGGCATACATCCAAATGGAAATTTTCAAGCGTCTTGTTGACCGATCTGATAGTGTGCGGCTAAGTGAAGAGGGGATTTTGGTTTCACAAATCTGGCAGCCCCTGAGTGGTTGACCGTATTAGATGAACGCTGACTGATATGTGATGGGTCTCGTAAGCAGGAGGCACCTGGGAATATTCATGATTGAAAAGAAGGACTAGACAAATGGGGAAGATGATTTTCCAAGTGGGTACCCAAGACTTTAGGGCACGGCAGCCCACACCGACGGTGTTTTTCTTTGGGAACCCTAACCGGAACCTTCGACTCAAAGGTCTGACCCACAAGGCAGTTGGTAGGTTAGTCGTGGTATTGACTATATCGGTTCGTCCTATTTTCATCTGTCTGAAGTATATTCTGTTCCTGCCCAATGTTGACGTTGACTTTGTTTGCATAATGCTCCCAGCACCAATCGGCACAGTTTGTCTCTTTTTGGCAGTCAGTAAATGATGATTTTATTTGCACATTGCAAGATTTTGTCGTAGCGCATTTACAACGTGACCTTTTTTCTCCATAGGCTCTAGAGATGACCAAGTGTATCCTTCGAATGCAACACCGAGAGCGCATCGAGTTTGTGATCAACACCGAGTGCCGTAAACTAATTGAACTGTGGCAAACTTTGGAGTTCCGCAGCTCCGCCCTCGAGTTCCTACTTAAAGATATGGGTGATTTTCTCTGAGTTGCTCTACCATCGTGTCCATACATCCACATTATCAGGAGACTTGATTCTGGGTTTTTCCTTGTTCATCGTGTTGAGTTGTTTAAAAGATAATTTATCATTGCTTCTGGTTGTCTGTTTCTAACCGATCACTAAACTCATTGTACCATTTATCGACAACCCCTCGGTCCCTATCTTGTTCCATTCCCGATGCAGTTTGCGCATCTGGCCAGAAGTTCACCTCTGTATTCATAGCGAATGGTTGTTTCTAAATGCCCCTGATGTACTTCCCACTATACATTGATTTCTCTTTCCCCCGTACTCTCTTAATCAATCATTAGTGCGTATTGTTTGGTGCTTTTTTACCCCGTTTATCCTACAGATGGCTTACAGTCTTTCACGTGCCATGCGCTCGTTATCGAATGTGTAACTTATGCATATGTATATTTACGAACAGTGATAGGTGTGTGTGTGTGTGTGTGTGAACGAGATAACTCTTACCATTTTCTTCCACAGCATTTGTTTACTTCATTCTTCATCATCATCTTCCACTTCCGCATTCATAAATTAACATGTTATAACTATCTCTTGGGTTCCTCGGTTTTGGTCTGTTGTGGGACTCTAGTGAAGAAACCAGAACTTTGATTGTTCCATGTTCTTCGTCCAACAGTTGTGGAGGTGTATTCCGTTCAAAAGTGCCTCCCTCAGTCTATCCAGTCTATAGTCATTCTGGACTTCGCATATATTGTTTTATTTTCTGCACCTCTTCAACTGTCAATACATAGTGTACCAATCTCTTCGCCTCTCTGTGGTACACCACATTAGTCTACGCGTGCGCACACACACGCACCTCATGGTATGGGTTCGCTCCAAGTGCGATCTGTCTTTTTCCAAGTCCCTATTGCCGTCGCTTCATTGGTATCGCTGTGGTTCGTTGTGTGTGTGTGTATCTAGCACTGCCGTTAGTACAACCTCTTTTGCTATCATTACGACAACGAGGACCACCAAAGTAACGTTACAACTACTGCTACTGCCGCTACTAATGTGATTTGTTCATGTCTTGTTGTATTTCTTGAACACACTAAATTCATACTTC